TATTAAAGAAGGTCGAATTTTATATGTAATATTATCAAAAAATTTTTTAGGGATCATGGTCTGTGCCTATTCCCAGATTTGCCTCTGCCTAACTCCAATCTTGAATCACTAATAAAGCAAAATACTCCAACCATATAATAAACATTAAACAGAGTAATCACTTGGCATCACTAAGCAATAAATGCCATCCAGTATAACCGGTGAAAAATTGCTAACCGATAAATTTTTAGGACTAAACTGTATACCATTCAAGCAAAATTCTCCCAAAAAAAAAAGAAAAAAGAAAGTTAGAGCATGCAAATATGCAATAAATGGACTAGTCAAAGAAGAAGCAAAGCAATATGATTCTTAATAACAAGTTGCCTCATCACATTTGAAGTTAATTCAGATATGTCATACAAACTGTTATGTATATACGATTCTTTGATAATACGAACGGCAGGTTTTGCGCTGCCCGTCCAAATTTAGTTTCAAGTCAACTACCTAAGCAGCAAAAACTTATTTCATCACCATACATAACTAATGTCCAAGAGCTAAACTCAACATTACTGTTATTTCTGTAGATGCAACAACTTTTACAGGTTTGATTCAAATCAAACAATATGGAAAAGATACAAATTTTGCCTTCATTTTTTCTGTTCCACTTTGCGTTGGCCCCAGCATTAGATGAAATAACTGAAAATTTTTTATCTAGATGCCTTTCAGGCAAGCTTGCGGGTTTTGCAACAAGTGCTTGTTTATTTTAAGAACCTTGTTGGAAGTTGGGCTTATTACGTGAATCTTTGTCATTGTTATCATTCGAGAAAGCAAAGGAAAGAAGCTTCTCCATCCCAACTCGGCAGGCTGAGTTCAAGTCGTACATTTAATGGCCTTTCAACAGGTTTGATCGAATGCATCGAAGGTTTTTTAATTGATAGAATTCACACATAATCAATTTACATCTTTTGTGAACCTTGACAGATTAGTTTCTTACTTGACCGTGTGCCATAGACCTATCAGAAATTTCGACTGCTTTTCTCTTTTTTGTGATATGATTATGTTTGAATTTTTTTTTAACGAAGTTAGGTTATTATTAATCGGTAATTTTATAATTTAATAAAATGTATTGATAAATTTAATTTTAATACAAAATGTGTAAGAATTTTAGTAATTTAATAATGATCATTTCTATGTGAATTTTGCACATTTTATTGCATATTGAGTTAGTATATTTTGACGACTGTATAAACCTTTTGACTCAATAAATTTTTTATAAAAAAATTATATGATTTCAATGTAAATATGCGATTAAAGATTTTTATTCACTTTTAATGAAAAATATTTATTAATTTAGAATTATTAGTAAAAGAAAACGAATTATCTAAAAAATTACCGCTATTTTAGTTTATAAACTATAATTGTTCAAATAAATATATCAATTAATTTGTATATTCATATATGCATCTCGAAATTATGTAAACCTAGCGAGACCTGGACGGTTGAATAAATTTCAAAGCGCACGTTCGAGAATTGTGGCCTGATAGCGACCAAGAAAAAGGAATGCTGGCCAGAGACTCAAGAGGGCTGCTATGGTGGCTTTCCCGAGATGAGGCCCAACGAGGCCTGAATCAACCATAACCTTCTTTTGAATATACAAGCCAACGCAAAATAGGGGATTCAGTTGAGAATTGAGAAATCTATAGGCCATTGGCCCAAGAAAAGAAACTATAGGCCTAGAAGTTAAAAATTTGAAAGTTGAGGCCCAATTTCGCAGACCAATAATTTAAGACGAAGCCAGCTCACTCCACGAAGCGATTGGTCAATTTTGAAACCGTCTCGGTGGCCAAGAAAATCAACATCAACAATCGAATGGTGCAGAGATTTGACAGTAGGAATATAACAAAAGGAGGGACTAAAGAGTTCCTTGCGAGCATCTACGACTTTTCATGGCCTTTAATTGGCCGCGTTTCTTGACCCTGCAGTTGGGTTATAGCTTCATCGAATCTCCGAACAACTTACCAATGGGCGGCTTTTGGATCTTCTTCATCAGCTCTAGAAGTTTAAAGGTAGTACCGATTTGCAGTACACTCTGTTTAGGAACCTGTTTTTGTACATAACGTTATGGTGAACCTTAACTCGGGCGGCCAGTTTCCGATGAAAAATATTTCCAGAACCGTTTCAAATCAAAGGTGTCGGCCAATAACGATTTACAGTATATTATCAGTCATGAAAAAGCGAGAATGAGACAGCAACTTGATTAAAATTTGATATATGTTGCATTTTAAAAGAGAGACAAAGGGAAATATCTGCCAGGATTTCTTCTCGAACCATTACTTTCAACGAGCTTAGTCCCCAGACATAGTCGTACCAGAAAATTTTGCTTTGCCAGGATATCTAATGTGATCATTTTACAGCCTAAACTTTCACTTCCAACTTCCAAAGGCTGAGATGCTGGCCAGGTGCAGTTCCAGGATAATATGACACCTGGGTAATTAGTCTAAAACAACGGGCTTCTAAAGGTGTGTGTGGAGAACTACTCGTTAAAAGTAGAATTTATTTTTTTCCTGGATTCATGCTGATCGTTGAGGAAGCAAGCAGTGTCAGTCGAAGAAAATGGGAAGCAAAAACTTTCTAGCGTTGAATTCTCTGTTAGACAAAAATTATTCTTTGAGAGTAATTCAAATACGTGTCGAATTTAGAAAGAATTATTCTCGCAATAGAAAATCAGATAAGTGGCAGATCCCCGCTTCAAATGCGTCCATATATATGTGTCTCATATATAAACGCTAGTCTGTAAGAGTGAGAGTGATACCCATACTTTACAAATATCTAAGGAAAAATAACTATTCGATCGTTGAGCTAAAAGCAAAAGACATTTATGGCGTTGGCTGCCAATATTTTCCCCACGTACAGCTGGACTTCTTAGTTTTCCTCTTCGTCTCACCCTTTTTCGCTTCTTCTCTGAATCTTATTCATTAATTAACTTAGAAAGGAATATAAAACTTTTATATTCGATCGAACTTTCAAAAGTTGGTGAGTGCTGTGCTTGGGAGAAGTGCGTCGCAATATTGTGAAAAGAGGAAAATAATGATGTTCTAGTTAGAGTGATATTATATTATATATATTGCCAAAGGCTATAGCTATAGCCTATAGTCTATTGTTCTTCTCTGCCAGTAATAAATTAAAATATTATTAGTATATTATATGAGAAAATGTTAACTAAGGTGAGACTTGATAGGATGATAACTGAAGAAAAATTTGTAATTAATACAATATTTTTTAATTTAATAAAAATACAACATTAAATTTAATTTTTAAATAATATTTTAAAATTTATTTTATATAATATAATACTAAATACTTAAATATATCAACTATATGTATACAATGATGTTATCCATTAATTTATATTGTAACAATTCAATTCAGTCCAGCAAATGGCTCCATTTTTTAACTTGAAATGACAAGACCCTCCTTAAGTGGTCCTAATATGGTGCATTCCATTTAATTTCAAGAAATTACTCGAGCTAAGTTTATGAATGAAATTTTAGCAATTTTAAAGCTTTATGATAAAGTCAAACATTCATGAAATTATATATATATATTAATTAGTAATAAATTAGGTATTTAATTTAATTAATTTATATATTCATTTTTAAAAGATGACATCTAATAATTTTAAATTCTAATGCTAACAATCTCTTTTCATATTCTTAAATTACTATTTTTATAAAAAATTAATTTAAATTTGATATAAATATATATGTATCAATTTTATGAAAATCATATTAAAGTTACTAAAAATTATATGTTAATCTCATATGTATGTCACCAATGAACTTCAAAACGTTAGACAAAACTCCAAAGCTTTTTTGAGAAAGTATTTTTATCTATCAATTGTAGAGATGTTTATTCAATTGATTTGATTAATTTCATAGTAATTATTTAAAACTAAATTAATAGAATTATGTTATTTTCTTTTTATTAATCGAATCAAATTTTTTAATTTTGAAAATTAATTAACTAAAATTAATTTGATCGGTTCGATTAATTTTTTTCAGTTAATCGATTAATAATTAAATTATAATTTAATTTCTTAATTTATTATATTTAAAACAAATTAAATAAAATTATTCAATAAAAATTTAAATACCAAATTATTAGATTAAAAACTTAGGTAACTTATAATGAAATTAGTAATTTCATATATTTTTAATTTTATATATAGGTTTTATTATATTTTGATTAAAATTTTGTTTAATTTTATTTTAGAATTGAATTAATTTAAAAACAAAATTTTTCTAAAATTATTTTTGATAATCAATTGACATTAATTTAGTAACTAATTAGTTAATTGAATTTAATCCATTTAATTGATTAAATCTCTTAAATATATATATATATATATATATATTTACCATTTTGCTAAATGAGATGACACTGACAGTCCAAATACCCTTTGCCTCCATTGATCCCCTTATTTTTTTGGTCCCCTTATTTTTTTGGTTTCTACTTTCTTATGAGAGAAAGCATGTGTATGGAGTGAAGCACCTTAAAAGCTGAATTCCCATTTGTCCGAAGATATTATATTAAAGTGGAAAAGTCGTATTCTTCATTCCTGTGAAGCCAAGAAGCAAAATACGTGTTAGATTCCATAGAGAGATTTGGGCTATGAAATAAGCATTTTAAGCATTTGTGAAGGGATCTCTACGAAGCCAATAATCCCATCTCTTCACTTGTTTCTTCCTTCATTTTCATTTTTTGTAAAATTAGAAGATGTCCTTTCCGGAAAATGGACTTTTTTTTATGCTGAAGCATTTTCGAATCCTTGAGCCTCAAAACCAAGCTCCCTTCAAGTCTCTTTCTCTCTTCTATGTATAAAAGCTCTCATATTCCTCCAAACCCATTGCACCAAAGCAGCTGAAGCAAACATTTTGTATCTATCTCTATCTCTCTCTCTCTCTCTCTCTCTCTCTCTCTCTCTCTCTTGATCATAACTGTTGCATTAATTTGTCTTCATCATGTCAAGGGTCCCCGAGCCACTGACTATTGGAAGAGTTATAGGAGAGGTGGTGGACAATTTCTCCCCAAGTGTCAAAATGACGGTAACTTACAACTCCAACAAACAAGTTGCCAATGGCCATGAGCTCATGCCTGCAGTCATTACTGCTAAACCTCGGGTTGAGATTGGCGGCGAGGACATGAGAGCTTCTTACACATTAGTAAGTTCCACCAAAACCTTGCACTGTACGGTATAGTAGGTTAATATTAGTACCGAAGTCTAACTCTTGCATTCCTTTTATCTGCTTCTCTTTGCTACCTTTGTAGATCATGACAGATCCTGATGCTCCAAGCCCTAGTGATCCGTACTTGCGAGAACATTTGCACTGGTTTGTATCAGTATCAGCATCACTAAACTCTATATTTTCGATCTTTACTATAAATTTTCTTCAATATATGAAGTTTATAACTTCTATAACGTAAACCATTAACGTATCTTCCTGCAGGATGGTTACGGACATTCCTGGTACAACTGATGATTCTTTTGGTGAGTTTCTAAAATCACAATTTCAAAATATATGACCTGTTTCTGACTCATTTGAACCTATAAAGAACACAATTTTTCGCACTCAATCGATTTTAACGCCAACAGGGAGGGAAGTTGTTAGCTACGAGACCCCAAAGCCAACAGTTGGCATCCACAGATACGTTTTCGTTCTGTTCAAACAGAGAGGAAGACAAACAGTGAGGCCATCATCTTCGAGGGATTACTTCAACACCAGGAGGTTCTCAGACGAGAACGGTTTGGGCCTCCCAGTGGCTGCAGTGTACTTCAATGCCCAGAGAGAAACTGCTGCAAGAAGAAGATAACCCTACCCGCCCTAGTCGATACATAATAGCACTACTAATAATCCACATCAAAAAGAAAGAAAAAAATGCGAATGTAAAGACCCAACATTATCTCTCTCCTGGATTTAGGGTTTGACACGTATGTTTTCTGTGATGGCTATTTTACTCGTAATCTTGTCGTGTCGTTGTGAGCTACTGCTAGGTGAGGATACTGGTTTCGGTTGTCTGTGGACTCGATCCTCCTTTTAAAGTTCTTTAATTAAGGAGTAGTTTCTGATTTGATTTGGGATGCACCATAGCAAATGAACGTGGAAAGGACTGTTATGAAAATAACAGAAATTAAGGTCTGCTTTATCAGACCACCCTTTCTTTAATGATATCTTATAGTATTGCAGTAATAGTTTTAACTCTATGTTAAAATAATTGGACATTAATCAAATATATTACTTCTTAATAATCTAAATGTAGCTGGTTTTTCCATTCTCAACTTTTTATGATCATATATGTAGAATTCACAAAAATAGTTCCATATCATGAAGATAACAACTCCAGAGTTTGGATGGATATTAATGGAGCAGAGAGGAGGAAATATATAATTCAAAAACAGGGCATCAGTTAAACAGGCTTCAAGTAATAATTAATCAACTTGAAATTTTGAAATATCGGTTATTGGCGATCAAGATTGCAATATTTTTGTTAATATGAGAATTATATACATCCAGTGCCAGTGGCATCTCTTCGGCAAATCCTCGAACAACAGAATACTAGGATATAGCTAGCTGTCTCTGTTCCCTAGACATTGACTCCGTATCATTTCATAATATAACATTGACTAGCAATTAGATTCACTTTCTGAATATTTCAATAGAAACAAAATTCGAGCTTTCTTGAACTAGTAATAAATACATAATACTACCCAAAAAAAAAAATCGAAGATTTCATAAAGGGTTTTGCACCTGGGGTATTGTCCCACAATGGAACCTATGACTGAAGCTCTTTCGTAGAATAGATCAACCACAGACGAAACCAATCAAGCATTTATTTCGGAATTGCATTGATGCTCTCTACTGCAGCTCCTCCTACCCCAAAACATGCTTGAGCAGGTTGTTTTCTCCAGTCTTGGTCCTTCAAGTTTATCCTGGTCAATTGATGTAGCTTGCGAACGTCTTGGAGATTCATCTTGAGTTTCGGTATCTTGAGGTTCAAAAGAAGGGCAAGGACCATCATTGCAGGTGCACAAAGGGATGGCAACAGGAAGAAATGGACTACAGGTAACTGGACAGAAAAGATCTGAAGAAACTGAGGCGACGTGATTCTTTACGGTCTCTGAAGCAGGTGATGAGCAATCTGTATCACAAGGATGAAGCATGCATGGGGTACACAGACCAAGTGAAAGATGCAGCTTAATTTCTTTTGCTGGTGAACTGGGTAATTTGGCAAAGGAAAGAATGCCATGTCTACAAAGAGGGCATGGAATAGACCCAAGTGGGGCCACCATATTGGAAGGAATGTGGCTTGTTGAGCAAAGATAGAGTGCACACCTTACGCATAGTTCATGCCCACATCCTGAAAAGATAAAATGAATTCACAGGGTGCAATAAGTACAATAATTGCGTACCTGTAACTTGAGAGCCTTATAATTGATTTTTAGTGAAGAAATAAATACAGAAGTTTAATCATGACAGAAAACATAATCATGAAGTTGATATTAAAAAGATTTCCAGGCTCATTTGCTAAAAATTTAAGCTCCTTCTGGATGTTACTTCAGCTACTTGCGTTTTACCTCCAGAAACAAAAAGCAAGTGTCTAGACACCAAAACAAATAGTAATATATTTTGGATAAGAGCCAAAAGCACAATTTCACTATATATTCTTGATTGATTCCTAAATTCTAGCGCTGGATTATCTAAGTCATTGTACTCACCAGCTTGCTTCCTAACTCACCATAACTTCAACTATATATTTAAGTTTTTCTATGCTATGGCATTAAAATAACTTCGAAATCTAATCTGTATCCCCTCTCTTGTCTTCCAAGGCCCCCACTAGAAGACTAGTGTGATAGTGTTTGAAAAATCATAAAAAATGATACTAAAATCAATAAGGACAACCATACCAAATTAAAGAACGAAGTGATCCAAACAGTTGGCTGCTTTCTGCCAGCATTTTCTACAAGAAAAAAATGTGCAGGGAGTAGAAACCAAAATTATGAAACAGCAAGTTGAAGACATACCTTCAGCAGCAACACTACACGCTCTTTCAAGGCAGACAGCACAAGTGTCAGCATCATCTGAGGATGTTGTTGAGGACTGCAACCCACATTCTCTGAAAAATAATAGTCAAAATGAAGGTTATGCACCATAAAAACTTTTAGCATGCTGATGAACCTAAAGTATCTGATTGTTGTATGTACTCAAACTGAAAACCAACTAAAAATTTTTAGCGCTAAGGCTAAGATTTGCTGGATTAAGACAGAGATTGCATTTTGGACACAACTGCCCGCAATTCGGCAAGAGTAACAACTCATACCATTTTTGTTTGAATAACTGAAAATAAATTACTGAGTCTATTTTCTAACTTTTTCCATAGTCCATAGGTAAGTCATCACTGCAAACAAGGCATAATAGCAACAGTAGTAAAAGAAATACTTGATTGCAAAAATTTGAGAAATGGAAGAAATCCTGCATCTGACTGCGGTTGACAGTAATATAGGCTCTTTCAAGTGAATTTAAGTCAGCATAAGCCCTTTACAACATTCTCAAACTTTACAATATTATCTATGGTCACTCATATTCTCCAAGCAAGATGAAGTTTTTAAATTTTTTCTCCTTATTTAAAACAGAAGAAAAAAAAAAAAAAAACACAAGGAACAAACAATCCTAAAAATTGAAGTTTTAAACAGTCAATTTTCAGGGTCTAGGAATTATCTAGAACCAAGCTTTGCATATTAAAATGAAGCCTACACATCATGATTTAGTCGTGACATATGTCACCTACTATTGATTTGCAACATGAAAGAAGCCTGTGCCTCAAAAGTAAATGTTTATTTTTAACCCGTTTTAATATGATAACCAGTTTCAGATCACCTAAAAGTTTCAAACTTAGGAAATAGTAAGTCTTGCAAGGAGAATCATTGTACCAGCAAAAACAAAAAATTTTGAATTGCTCCCAGCCACACTAACCACATATTGATTTGATAAGAAGCTTATTAAATTTCTATTATTTTTCCTCTAATGATATATCTCTCTGTCATTTAGAAGTATGTTATATACCAAAAGACTAAAGGATCTTGAATCACCATTATATCTACCATCTAGCAAGCTCTCCATTCGAGTTTGACCAACTCCAAATCATCAAGGATGTCTTTTATTTCTTTTAACAGAACATTGTGCAATACAACTGTTCAGTAGTGATTGAAAACTAGCAATCCTAGCCTATATAGACTGTAGACTATAGTAGTTATAGGATTACCTTGCTATGTTAAGTAGACTCAAAAGCGGTAAGGACAAGTAGTTGGAAGAAGGAAATCTAGGTATGATTGTGTTAGAATTAGGTGCCAACAAGGGCTCAAGCCAATGACGACCCCATATCCTGGCAACATCAAGTGGCAGCCACCTGAGAAATACAGATAACTCTTTTAGCCATGGTACGTGCAGAACTGAAACAGCAACCGTAGTGAAAGACTAAACAAACAAGAACAGAATGAGATCAATAGGCAGTTTACCCATTGCAATTCAAAGTCAATCGACTGGCTCCTCTTGCAAGAAGGATCTGCAGATAAAAGAATTAACATAATATCCAATTCAAGAAAATTACAGATGGGCTCAAAAAACATTGTTTATAAGTCTTGCCTGGCAGCACTCCAAGTTTCCCCCACAAGCAGCATAATGCAAAGGAGTGCTTCCAGCTCCTGCCCAAAAAAAGTAACCATATCACCCAAAAGTTTAAATCAAATGACAATCATCCATGGAAAAAATAAAAAGAAAACCATACCTATCAAATCCATTGTAGTTCCATAATGAAATGTGACAGAAGAGACATTGGCCTGAAGGTCTAACAAAAGCTGTACACAATCAAAATACCCATTTAGTGCAGCCATATGAAGAGCAGTAATCCCACCATCAGCCGCTTTATTTACAAACTTTGACAGTGCACTGCATAGCAATAAGTTACATAATTAGCACAACTACACGAGTGCCTAGAACTTTTGGCATTGAAGTTTGAGGAGTGATTCCATAGCAATGGAAATCACTTGGAGAATATATATGCTATGAGCATCAATGGTTTGCACATCCCAAAACTTAGATTTTACTGTAAAATAACTTTTTCTTTCCGTTTAATCTATTTCACAATATTACAGAAGAGAACATGCAATAAACCCTGGACCTAATCCTCCATTTAAATTCAAATTAGAGCAAGCAGGAGCACATAGTTATTCAGTGGAATGGTAAAACACACACCTTTGATCATTTTTATTCCTCACACTACAACCATCCCCTCTTTCACCTTCTATTTGGGTGTTTATAGCTTCAAATGGAGCACTAGGAACAAAATCAGCTACAACTAGTCTTATGCATCTTACGTGTCCATTTGCAGCAGAAAAATGCAGAGCAGTTCTCCCACTCAGATAATCTGCTCTCATAACCTATACATAAAATAACAACAGTCATCTACTAATTAACAAACATTCAAAAATACTTCCTATAAGTTTATAACAAAATTAGAAAAAGAAAATTTAAATGAGAACCAAATGATGCTCTCATGAGCAAGAAGCACCCAACCCAGTTATAACTAAGAATCATTTAGTAGTCATATTTTATCATAAAAGTTAAAAAAAGAATGGAACTCACATTGCATCTGAAAAGCAGAAGGGTCTGTACAACTTCCCAGTGCCCGTATCTACATGCTTGCATCAATGCCGTCTTTCAAATAGAAACATCAAAAAAAAAAAAAAGAAATAAAAGTTAGTTATACTTCAGATCGGTTCCATCTGTTGCCTAGCAGTGATCAGATTTTGAAGTCCAGATTCTTTGAAGCGGGCTTTGGGTTTCCACAGAATCAGATTTGGAATCTAAAATCATGTTAAACGATTTCTAAAAACCAACATGACAGATTCTTTAGAAAGGTTAGCCGACCAGAATATTTTCTTTAAAATTATGTCCCATAATTCCAATTTTTAATTCCAAATCCCATATCCATAAATCAAATGCCAAAGTTTCCAAAATTTGAAATCTACATAGGAACTCTAAAAATAGAACTAAACCCACAACTAAAAACCTGCATAAGAAAATTATCATACCAATCATTCATTCTGAAATTTTAAAAAACAAAAAAAGAAAAAAACAGATAAGAAAATGACAAAATCAGTTACCTGGCCACAGTAATTCCTGGAATTAACATCAGCTCCGTTCTCGAGCAACAAAGCAACAATCTAAGAAAAGCCCACCAAATAAACAAAACAGGAAGTCAAAAATATAATTCAAAAGGCAAGCACTAAACATTATATAAACCAAAGGGAAAATCAAGTACAAATTTTTAACGGAAGATAAAACAAAAAAGAAACCTCATTGTGGCCTTTGGCAGCAGCGAAATGAAGAGGAGAATTAAGGCCACCAAAGGTGGAATATTTAGCAAGACAAGGATTGCAATCCAAAAGCATCTTGGCTTCCACCAAATCCCCATCTCTCGCCGCCGACACTAATCTCTCCCCTGAAGCTGAGCAACCAAACGAATTTCCCATCTTGATTCTCTTCTTTTCTCCTTCTCTTTCTGTTTCTCTCTCAGGTATCTGTCTTGGGTTAGGACTTAAAAGGAACTTTTTTATTCCTTTTGTATGGGAATTGAAATTAGATCAACTGTCTGAGAACAAAATTCAAATAAAACAACTTTTAAAAATGCAACCCTAAAATGGTTGCCGGGATGGGGATTTTCGTGTCTTGTTCTCTTTTCCTAGTAGGAAAAAACAATTTCAAAGTAGTCGTAATGAAATATGGGAGAGGTGTCGGATTTTGTTCTTTTTCTTTTCGTTTGCTTGTTTTGGGGGGCTGTGCTTCTTGTTTGTTTCTGCTGTTTTTTAGGACAAATGGAAAAGAAACAGGAGTGTGCTGTCTCGCAAACTACGTCGCAACTATCACTTAACCTTTCCTTTCCTTTTTTTTTTTTTTTTTTTTCTCTTCCCTTCTAATTCTCATCTGTCATGGTTTTTGTCTTGTTTTCTTGAAGTCCTTTTGTTTTCGTTAAAAAAAACAAAACAAAACAAAAATTGGATGGCAGATGACAGTTTCACACTTCACTTCAGCTTTTAAAATCCCCAAAATCCCTCTTCCCATGTAACAAAATTGAAAAAAAAAAAACCTATTTCAAAATTTATTTGGCTCAATTTGTACAAAATTGTCTTCTATTTTTAGATTCAAAAGCAGAAACGCCAGGTTTCGAGATTTAGTATTGTTAATAGTGTTTTGGGTGTTAGTTGGAGAGAAGTGATTTGGTGACTATATAGTGGAAAGCTTTAACCTGCACCTAAAAAGCACGATCAAAGGGCATTGGAGTTAATTCTTTAGGATGCGTTTTAACATTCAAGTCTGCTAAGTGTTTAGAGGTTTAGCAAAGAAAAAGATGCACAATAAACACTAGAGAAAATTTAAGAGGAAAAATGTTTGGTTCATATCGTATCTAGGCCTCATTTTACTTTATATATATAAAAAAAATGGCAATGACATGATTAAAATAATTTATTTTATGGTCGAGCATATGCTAATTCGACGATTATGGGAGTTGCCCTTATTAATTGAATAAATAGGTACAACAACTGCCTGCAAGGCTGAGAGGGTTATAAAGTGACTGCTCTTAGGCCTTTGGCGAGAGTTGGTGAGGAAGCACTAGTTGGTATGAAGTTGCTTTGGCAGGTTATGAGTGATGATGTGTCTTTGTGTCCCTTTTAGATAAAAGACACGAGCTTGGCGTGCCTTGTGTTTTGTCGACATATAGGGAATCGTAGGTGAGGATTTAGGAAAATTTTTGTGTCAAATACTTATGCAATGCATGTAGTGTGTGTGGGTGGAGCATGTCTTTGAACACATTGTTCAGCACGCACCTGTGTTTCTAAAAAATGCGATTGCGTAGGACACGCGGTGCAATAGGGTTGAAAAATTGAAAGGCACAATTAATGAGTTTAAATTTTAAATTGTACTAGTTTAACAAAAGGGAATAAATATATATATTTTTTTTAAAATGTGTGTAATCGAAGCATTATCTTAATTAAGAATTAATCTTGATCATTTTGAAATCAGTTAAAATAGTGTTTTAATTCATATCATTTCAACGAAGCATTTAGCTGGCTATAAAAGAGGGAGATAGAGAATTTTTAAACTCAATTTGCAACTTGTGAGCAAATTGGAGAATTTGTTGTCTAAGTTTTGTGTTGTTGGTGATTGTGTTACTGTTTTCTTGTAAACTTTCTATGGCTAAGTAATCTTGTAGATTTTTTTTGTGTTTGTTTGATTTTTTGTAGGGAAATGGCACCGCAGAAAATGATTGTTATTTAGAGCTCGAGTGATGATGAGAATACCATGGTGCCCGCTGTGAACAGTGGGGGTTAAGGTAGGGGAAAAGGTGGTCGGGTTAGGGGTCTAGGGGCCAGGGATCGCTAAGTAATGGCGGTTATGGTCACAGTATCATGATAAATGAGGTAGGGGCTCTTGGTTCTAGGACAAATGCCCCCAGTAGTAGCAATGGCAAAAAAATGGGAAGAAAAAGGAATTGGTGATGGATGAGCCCAAGGATCTGGCTCCAAGGACATGGCCATCGGATATTTATCGCTCTAACATGACACCAAGCATGGTGAACCAAATCTTGGACTGTGTAGCCTTCGATCCAGGTAATTTCATGTATACCATTTCAATGCCTGATGAAAGTTTCACCATCAGCTAGATTAAGGCCAATAAAGGAATGACAGCGTTCTATTTGCACAATTTCCTCTTGAGTTCTACCTGCCACTACTCCATTCTTCCTATTGGTGCTGGTCATGTTTAAACTGACAGTCTCGCAAATAGCATCAAATGCCTAGGCAATCATTGACGTACTTCATTTACTATCATCTGAAAAGTAGGTCCCTTAGTGATCGTGATTCTGGTGTTGTACTTGCTGAGGGAGATTAATGGTTGACTGTACTATCTTCGAGCTCATGAGCAATCATGCATGGTCAAGTTACTGTCCAATAGGCATTCTTTGTATGACATATTTATGGTGGCCTGTACTAAAGCTCTTGGCATGTGGTTTTCTTTTAAAATTAAGTGGTCTTATGCCAGCGCGCCAACAAGAGAGACTCAAGAGCTCAAGAAGGATGAGCTAAAGTAAGTGAATGCTCTAAAGAATGAGAAACTGTTTTATCTAGAGTTGGCCACCCGCAAAAACATTTGCAACTAGTGAGGATCAAGGCTTGGCTACTAGTGTTCAAGAAGTGCTAGACTAGGAAAAAAGTCAAGATGGGAAGGAAATGACCCCTAAAGACAAGGAGAATTTGGGCGGGAAAAAAAACTAGGTTGTTTTTTGTTGCCTTATGTATTTTGTTTCTATGTTAACAATTAATGTTGATGTGGAGTTATTATGTTTGTCGTTGCAGTGAAAAAGGCAGCAGTCAAGCCCAAAAAATCTGTGGCTCATTAAGGAAGTCCCCTAGCTGGTGGCATACAGCAAATAATATAAAAAGGATCAGTTATGGCTACCTCTGTTAATCTACGGGGAATGCTAACGTGCAAGGTGTTGAAAGGGTCCAGGGTAGTCAGGATAATGTAGGGGTGTTAGTTGTGGGTGTGCCTACTTTTGGTTTGCCAGATGCTAAGGTTGTTGCTAAAGGTAATTGCATTGTATTTTGTTTAATCTAATTATAGTTAACTGATTCAAATATTTATGTTTGCTTTGTAGAGATAAATCACACTTCAAAGCTTCAAAAGATACTCCAACAAGTGAAGTAGAAAGGGAAGAGGTATTTACATGTCAATTTTCTTCTCGTAAATAAACAAACCGTGAGGAGCTCCAACATGCCCAGCAGTGAATGCTTACTTCTGGCAAAGCTCAACCAATAGTGGTCATATAGGCCTCTCTAATGCCTTCAATTGCAGGATCAAGTGCAACTCCACCTGCTCTAGTCGTACCCAACTTAATGCCAATTGTGCCTTCTGTAACAACTTCTGTTGCTAGCACCATTCCTGCCCTTATTGCACCTCTTGTACCAACTGTTGCTACTCCATCTATTATGGTCAGTATTGACATTAGAAGGCTCACCAATGAAAACCTGGAGGCCTTCTTAAAAGCTTATGCTGGCTACAAGTTGGATAAGATGTCCTCAGATTTTACTGCAATCAACAAATGTCCACTACTGTATTCCCTATTAAGGCAGCATGTCTGAGTGCCACAACTAGTCTTCGCCGCATTAACAAAAAAATGGTGCAACCATTTCCTAACCTTAACAACCTGCAGGTTGAATTATGCTTGGCTACTGAGGTAAGTATTGAATAAAGTTATTTTTACTTTTGATTCTTCTACGTTGAATGAGTTGTTAACAGTGAGTATAACAATGTGCAGTCTTTGGGTAATAAGGTAGGTCTTTACGAGCAAGTCAAAATGCTAATGTAAGACTTAAGGTGCAAAAGGGGGATGCTTCAAGATGAGGCCTAAGCTAGAGCCAAGCAAGAGATATTACAGAAGAAAAATGCCTCCATCGAGAGCCTGAAGACTTTGAACACCACCCTATAAAAAAAGTGAATAAGTTGGAAGCTAGTCGAAAAAGGCCATTGTGAGGAATACTGCCATTCAAGAATATTTGGATGCTACAACTGTTCACCTCAAGGAGGTGAAAGAGGAAAAGAATAAGTTGTAAGGCGAACAAGTGGCAGCTACAGCACGCACCAACCAAGTTGAAATAGGAAAGGATCAAAGCCAAACATGGGCCTAGCAATTAGAAGAGAAGCTTGCAGGGCTGAAGGCTAAGCTGGAGGGGGAACATGCTGAGTCTTCCAAACGATTGGTAGAGTAAGAAGATGAATGGACTAGTGTTTACTTAGCCACTGGCGACCATTAAAGGCTTTTAACCATGTATCAGGTACAACTACAATTGAGGCCTCTAGACTTAAGAAGGGTTGACTTTTCAAAGATGAAGATGCCACTAGAAGTTTTCAAAGTAGAGTCCCCAAAAAACTTAGCCCAGTTGAAAAGGGTGAGAGTGTCTGAAAGGATTGGTAGGATCTCGACGGTTACTTATTTGAATGCCTTGCCTGTTGTTGTTGGGGATTCTTAGGCCAGTAGTTCTGGAGCTGAACCTACGTTAGTTGGTCGTTATGTTGAAGCCACTCCTCTTATTACTGATGTTGATGTAGCCGAGCTCCTTGTGGCTTTGACCGATGCTACTTCAACTCCTGCCACCAATGACGATCTAACTCCTACAACCTCTTAAAGCCCTTTGTATTTTCTATTGTTGTAATTTGGTTTTTATTTTTTTAGTTTTATTCTTTATTCTTAAAAATTATCATCAATAAAAGTGGAAGTTTCAACATCAATTCTTGCCATGTGCTAAATTCGTATTGCTAATCTGTGTTGTTTGTTTGAAAATTCAATTATACCAAATTCTAAGCTGGAAAGAGTTTTTGTTGACCGTCAATTTTGCCTTACAACTTAAATAACTCGAGTGGTTTTTATGACTATCGACTTGGTACCATAACTCATACAGTCCAGACTTGTCTTCGTGACTGCAAATTTAGCCTTTGGCATTATTTGCATCTTAGACTTAGTAGTTTTTAACTTGTTTGGTTATTAACAGTAAGTACCTATAAGTGATGGTTTCCTATAGATGCAGAAGTTTTCTCAAATCAAGCTAAGTTTATTTCAATTTTCTTTTGATTACTAAGTAATTTGAGTAACATCATAGGATGATCTTTGGGTGTGTGCATTTTTACATAATTTCAAACTAAGCTTATTCCCACATTCTCAAAGAGGTTAAGTAAATTGAGTAACTTCTATGATAGTTTCCTATTCATATGGAATAGAGTACTTCTTAACTTTTTTAACTTAAACAATAACTCATTTATTGTTTGATATAATAGTCTTAAGCAATAACTCGTTTATTGTTTGATATAATAGTGTTATGACACTTAATAGACTGAGGGTAAAACTTATTGTAATTTGGGTAAAGGAAAAGCATAAGATATAGTACTATAGCACTTAAGCATGATACCTTAGTATGGAGTAAAACAATATTTTCAGAGTGTATGTGCTAAAATTAATGAGTATGTGTACCTTGTTACAAGATTATTTTCTATTGTAATGTTGCTAAGAAAACTTTAAGTAAGGAAGAAGGTGCATAGTAAACACTAAGGAAACTTTAAAAGGAAGAATGCTTAGTTTATACTGTACTTAAATTTTTTTTATCTGACAGTGACATGATTAATACAGTTAGTAATTAACGATGAGTTT